ATGCAGTTATAATACTAGATTTCAACTCACACACAATTTTTGGAAGCAATAGTTTCTGCTGTATAAACTGAAGGAGAAAAAATGCATAATTCAATTTTCTTCTGTTTATGACTCTCAAGAGTTGACCTCAGCCTAAGTGAAACCTGTTTTAAGTTCAATTAAAGAACAGAGCAAGAAAGCCAACAACTCAAGCAAATCGTACTATTCCTATGAGGTGAAGACTGAAAAACACTATTTTCCTTACAAAATCACCCTAATGGTGCCAGCATACCTATACAGATGAGAGTCCTAACTCCTAGACACAATCTCTGATCTCAAATGTGCTACTGTAATACAAATTACAGCTCATATACCAACTCTAAAGCTCTTCCTTAGCTGCACAGACATCAGAGGTTAGATAGCTGAGGAAGTAATAAACTATCCTAAGTTCAAAAGCAGTACAGCAACAACAAAAACCCTAAACCCACCGTAGTTAGGCATTATCCAGGAAGTCATCAATAAACCTTTATTGAAATAGATTACAACTACATCTCGGCACCATCTGTTACTTGGGAATTTTGACTTATATAAATGACAGTGCTTCTGAAATTAATTCAAGAATATACATGTTTATATATAATATATAGTAATAACTAAGAAGTTAATGAATGCTAAGTGACAAATGCAGACTGACTCAGGGAAAATATAAACCCAGTGTTTGGCATTCAGAGACACCCCCTCCTCGATGTTAGGACTCTGTCATGTGATATCCGACTTCCATAACCCAGCAGAGACTGCTCACAGGCAGTTTTTGGTGTTTAACACAGCAGGTAGTATTGACTGAAAGCTGTTTTTACTCCTTAAAACTATCACCTACATGAAATATACCCAACTGCCAAGGTCAGTGAAAACTAAAGAACTAATGAATTCTTTTAAGTATAGCCTCATCTACTTTAGGAACGACCAAGTGATAACATGGTACCCTCTTCACTTTGTGGCAGGGCTTAAGACAGACAGACCTGCCCGTTTCACTGTTAACTTCAATGCTCCCAGTCTGAATCCACAGTGGTCTGTCAGACACTGTTAGGGAGCAGCAGGACTCGTCACTGTCTGATGTAATAGCTGCCATTTGTTGAGACCTATGGTAGAAAAAACCAAGTTAACAAAAATAGTCACTTGAGTTCTTTTTAATCCATTTTACCAAAAATAATTTAAAAATAAGAGCAACATTCAGTTGAATTTTCATAATGGATTTATTCTGGATAATTTACTTGGCTTCATAGAAAGCCAAGCTTTGGTACTAAAAGGAAGACTTGAGAGCCGGGTAGACACACCAGCCTTGGCCAGGAGAGGGCACACTCTGGCCCAAGTCACATCAGCAGCAAAATGTCATGGGGCACACACCAAAATGTTGCCCTCCAAGCAAACTCACAGAGAGGAAATGCTAACTAACTTTTAAGTATCCTACCAAAAAGTGTACCAGTCTAACACGGGGGAAATGTTGGATTAAGTCCTGCCTCAGGATTCAAGGGCTGAGTTCCTATCTATGTAACACAGTGAGCTCCACGAGGCTGTTTTGCAGTATGACCAAAAACTACCTTAACCCCTTTCTCTTTTAATCCCAAAGACCTCCCTTGCATATTATTCAGGACCTAATCTTCTGGATTAAATATCATTTGGCGCAGCACTAAGGTGCTACTTGGGGTGGGTGCTGTTTCCCATTCAGAAGAGCTCGATGCAGCTCCCCACTAGTATGCACCCTGGCGGCAGGAAGCAATGGCTCAGATATTCGAGTCCCTTCCACCTACATGCGAGACCCTGATGTATTTCCTGGCTCCAGCCTGGTCCAACCCCAGCTGTTGGAGCCATTAGGGGAATGACCCAGAAGATGGAAGATGTGTCTCTGCCTTTCAAATAAAGAGAAAATAAAACAAACACGGTAAGCTTTCTTAGGCTTTCAAAATTTAAGCTTTAATTACTAAGCACAATTCACATGAAGAACTGCTATTTTAAGCCTTATTTTCAAACATACTTGTGTCCTTACTTCCCTAAATTATGAGTAAGAAAAAATTCACCTATCATATCAGCATATGTAGATAGATGTAGATAATAGTCCTTCTAATAATCAGAACCAATGGCATGTAGAAACCTTTTTAAAAAGCCTTTTCTGGGCCGGCGCCGCAGCTCACTAGGCTAGTCCTCCGCCTTGCGGCGCCGGCACATCGGGTTCTAATCCCGGTTGGGGCACCGGATTCTGTCCTGGTTGCCCCTCTTCCAGGCCAGCTCTCTGCTATGGCCCGGGAGTGCAGTGGAGGATGGCCCAAGTGCTTGGGCCCTGCACCCCATGAGAGACCAGGAGAAGTACCTGGCTCCTGCCTTTGGATCAGCCCGGTGCGCCGGCCGCGGTGGCCATTGGAGGGTGAACCAACGGCAAAGGAAGACCTTTCTCTCTCTCTCACTGTCCACTCTGCCCGTAAAAAAAAAAAAAAAAAAAAAAGCCTTTACTAACATTAAAAAGGGAAAATTTTGTATACACCTGATGTACAAACACAATTACTTCTGAATTTTAACTAAATGGAAAGCAGGGTTTGTAAATGAGGTTTAATAATGAGGTTATCTGCCCATTTGTTCATAGGAACAATTAAATATACCATTAACCATAACGCAACAGCAAACACAAGAGTAATCTGAATGTACTTAAGACTTTGTCTTTTGATTTTCTCTCCATAAGTAAATCTTTTATTATTAAAGAATCTACTTTGGGACTGTTGTAGCATACCAGGTAAATTCTCCACCTGTAAAGCCAGCATCCCATATGGGTGCCAGTTCAAAACCTGGCTGCTCCACTTCCTATCCAGGTCCATACAGATGTGCCTGAAAAGCAGTGGAAAATTGCTCAAATGCTTGGGCACTGCACCCATGTGAAAGACCTGGAAGAAGCTCCAGACTCCTAGCTTTGCCTAGCCATTGCAGTCATCTGGGGAGTTCTCTCTCTCCCCATCTCTCTAACTTTGCCTTTCAAATAAGTAAGTCTTAAAAAAAATGACTCCAGACAAGGAGTCTAGATGATCAAAGAAAGCCCTCATCTTACCTTTTGCACTCCTCGCCTGCACCCCATGTGAGCTATTAACGGACCAGTCTCCCACCACAGCACCTGGCCGGTTATGTTTAAGACAACCTTCCCGGGGCCGGTGCTGTGGCACAGTGGGTTAACGCCCTGGCCTGAAGCGCCGGCATCCCATATGGGCACCAGTTCGAGTCCCAGCTGCTCCACCTCCAATCCAGCTCTCTGCTTTGCCCTGGGAAAGCAGAAGATGGCCCAAATCTGTGGGCCCTTACACCCATGTGGAAGACATGGAGGAGGCTCCTCGTTCCTGATTGGCGCAGCTCTGGCTGGTGCAGCCATCTGGGGAGTGGACCAGCGGATGGGAGGACCACTCTCTCTGGCTCTGCCTCTCTCTGTAGAGAGACAAGCTTTCCCTCAGTGTGTTCAGGGTCTCACTGAAGTTTCTTGAGAAATGTACCCACTCATATGGGACCTCTATCCATCTGGAAGAACCAAATGGCTCTGACGCAGCAAATGGAGGGATACCCCCATGGAAAGGTGACACCTGCACTGGAAACAGGCTTAGGTGCAACAAGGGGAACTATTCCTGGGAAGCAGCAGAAACCTAAAGGGCATAACACAACAGAGTCATCTTGGTTTTAGACCAAGAGCATGAAAAAATAAAGCAGAGGACATCAAGCTTACTGCAAACACAATATTTAAAAGTAAAAAATTATTACATACTCATGTACCTATCCTTAATGTACAATGTTAAAAGCAGGAAATGTATTAACTAGTACTTGTTTTACAATAAATATCCTGCTTTTCTAGCCTTAGTGCTGGTTTCCTAACCACTTATTTTTATGATGTTAAACAAACTGCACAGTTCTTCCCAGCATACCAAGCCTCACACTAACATGTGCCACTCTCAGCCAGACTCCCTACTACAATCTGTAGAAGTAAGTGATAGAATTGTAGTCAGCATCTCAAAAATGAACCATGGGTTAAAATGACTGTTCACTTGTAAATAGTCATGCCACACACAGAACAAGGCCTTGGAATGTAAGGCATTTCCCTCCTCAAATGGGGAAACAATCTTCCATTCAACCACACCAGTAGCAGTTTTAAAGATGTTCAAGTGATATCCACATTTTCACCAAGTGACAAAACACTGAAACAGTAAGACACCAGGCGCTCAGTGTAGTGCATCTTTGCAAATTCACTAACTTTTTAAAAGCTGCCAAGTTTAGGTTTCTAGCTCTAACACCTTCCGAAAAGTCTCCTAGGATATGACTTCCACAACTTGAGCCCCACCAGCTCAGATCCTTCTCACATCACTTGAAAACAATCTGGGGTGTGCAGGGTTATCTTGTTAGTACTTAAGTGTCCAAATCAGAATTACTCTTCCTCATTCAGTCACAAGTACACCCACTTCTATTCACGCCATAAACTATGCTTGGCATAAGGGGCAGTGGAAACAGGAGTACTAAATTCCTAGAATTTGTGTTTCACATAAATGAACAGGAAAAGAGTTGAACATCTCCCTTTATCATAATCCCCAAGATTTCCAGTCCAATTACCCTCTACAAGATGCCAGTGAATATATCCAACTTCTAGATATTTGTGGTTATTGCTACTATGATGATTGAAATGTTTATGTAATAACACTGCTATAACATTTTCATCCATACTGTGTTACAGAAAAGTAATATTAAGTTACCAGAATGAGATTTCACTAACACACACACAAAATAGTGGTAACAATAACAACTATTTATATAGGTCTTTACTGCTTTAAATATTTCACAATTACCTTATTAAGGAGGTGTTGTTATTCTCCCCATTTCACAGATGAAGGCATTGAAGTAACCTGCCTAAGATCACACTGCTTGTCTTTTAAGTGGCAGATCCAAGTCAAGCTTTGAATCTAGGAAATCTGGCTCAAGAGGTTGTACTTTCAACCAGGTGCCTAAAAAGTGAGAAAATGATTCTTTGCTCAATAAAAGCTTGCTGTGGAGCACCACTACTACAAAAATGTTAATGCTCCAACTCACTTGCATCACTGACAAGTTATCTACCCAACTATCTTTCACACTCAAGCGGATGACACTCACCTTTCTTGAAAAGCACTGAGCATTTTGCCTCTCTTGTAGCCTCCCTCCAGGCCACTCTGGCTGGAGGTCTCTGACTTCAATAAATCTTGCTCTTAAATACAAAAAAAAAAAAACAAAAAAAAAAAAACAAAAAAAAAAAAAAAAAAACCTTGAACAAGCAAAAAATTCTATTATAATTTATATGGGGAAAAATTATACTTCTAGGGTTTTTCAATAGTTTTTAAATGATTCTTTGTGTAAGAACTAAGCAAGAAATGCTAAACGTTAGAAAATTACCTGAAATAACCTCGATAAAAAGCCTTTCCTAATACTTGATACATATAATTCCAACCTTTTTTTCATTTAAGAGAAAAGGAACAAAAGTGTGATAGTAACCGCCTAACACTTTAAGCTATGAAGTATTTGGTTTTCCTTCTAAATACTGACAACCAGGATAGAAATTATAGGATGGAATTTTATTCATGCTTTCTGATTAAGACTGAGATTTCTAAGGCAATAAAAGGAGGTAACTGTCACAATCTCATAGCACAAGGAACACTCCATACTTAAATTATGATTCTCCTCAGCTTTTTAAATGAGACCTTACAAAAATATCAGAAGAAAAAATACTTAATTCTTGTTTAAGTTTTTAAGATTGACCTTTCTTAATATCAAAGCTTTATAAAGTTGCTTTACAAAAATCGTGTTCAACAAAAGGCTCATTAAGTTAAACAAGTACTACAGCCATCCAAGTTATTTGTTTGAAAAATGAAGATTGATGCAGAAATTCAACATTTTGATAAATCCTAACTTTTGAATAGAAAGTATTTCATTTACACTTCCTCTCAATCTTTAATTTGTGCCAGAATCTGTAAGAAAAATTTAAGTTCCACAATTCTTTCGTAAGTATTTAAAGACATCAACATTGACTCAAGGCATGATATAAAAATTAACTCAGCACTTCCTACCACCAAAGTGTGGTGTAGAGAATTACGATAGAATCTTATTAGGGTTATACACATTATGTCAAAATATTTGTTTTCCATTAATTGTACTGACATGAAAAGTGAGTCAAAAAAAATTAGTATATATCTTATGAAAATACGCAATGGTATGTAACAACTTGAGTTTCGCAAAGTAACTTAATTCCACTGCTAAAATAATTTAAATGGTTTTATTTCTATACTTGTAAAATCATCCCAAAAAAACTGATTTTGTCACTGAAAGGGAATAGCTTTAACTAAAACTACTCGAAAAAAACAGGCAAACTAAGTCACACCAGTTCACCTCAAAGTTTTACTAGGGGGCAATTACAGTTCTTAAAAATGGGGGTACCATGGGCATCATGGGAGACAGTATTTCCTTGTGCAGGACTGACTGCAGGCTGATCAGAAAGGAATCTGAGGGCCAGTGCTGTGGTACAGCCGGTCAAAGCCAACCTACAGGGCCAGCATCCATAGGCACCAGTTCAAGTCCTGGCTGCTCCACTTCAGATCCAGCTCCCTGCTAATGCACCTGAGAAACTAGGTTCTTGGGCCCCTGCACCCATGTGGGAGACCCAGAAGAAGCTCCTGGCTTTGGTCTGGACCAGACCTGTTCATTGTGGCCATTTGAGGAAAGAACCAGCAGATGGAAAATCTCTGCTTCTCCTCCTCTCTGTAACTCTGCCTTCCAAATAATTAATTAAAAATAGAACAGCAGCAACAAAAGAACCTGAAAGGTAGACAATAAGAGTAGCATATTCCAATCACAGAACTAAGAAAGACTGAGTGACTTAATTTCTGAAACCCTCCAGAACAGTTATATCCCAAATTCAAGATTTCTATCAAAAAAGATTGTAGATGGACAGTGGTGATGACTGCAAAACAAGGTAAATGTAATGAATGAAACTGGTGAATTCTATGTCTATTTGATGATTTTTAAAATACAGCACAAAATTACAGCACTCTATTACTATGACCAGGAAAAAATTACTTCCACTTAATGCCACAAAGAAAGGAATATTTTAAATCCTGTTTGAATCTATGGTTAAGTCTCTTAACTGAGTGAAGATTAAACAGTTGTTTGTCTTCTCATCTTGGTGTCAAGTATCCCTGGTAAAGACAGAGGTAACCTGGAAAACTAAAAGAATAGACATCTAGAAACCATGCCTTTTAAACTCCCTATTCCTTTATTCAAAATAGCATAATAGAGTGTAAAAATTGATAATGCTTTCATTTTTTCATTCTACTCTGTCTTTACTAAGTAAAGGTAATACAGTTAAGTGCAAACTGTAAACACAGAGCATGAAAAGTCTATCAACTAAGTCAAAGCCAGGAAACATTAATACAGCATACCTGTCTGACTTTCTCCTGGCAACTTACCAGCCCCAGCTGCTTCTGCATCTGGCATTTCTATTGCTCACCATTTTAATAACCCAAAATTGCCCCAACTTACACATTACGTCTTCATTCTCTGGAAAACTCCCTGTTGGAAGCCATCAACAAGCACAAATCCTTCAATCAAAACGTGATCAGCATCTGTCCACCTCTTCTCTACATACTAATAAAAGTAAACCAACTGAAAACTAAATTTTATGTCCACATTATTGATTTCTTAAGATATTTCCAATTCCCAACTCAGTTCCTCTGTATAAAGGAAAACTGATAATCTTTAAGTGTGTGTTCCCGGGGCCCGTGATGTGGCACAGCAAGTTAAGACAAAACCTAGGACACTGACATCCCATATGAGCAGCACAATTCCAATCCAGATCCCTGCTAATGCACCTGGGAAGCAGCAGAAGATATCCCAAGTCCTTGCACTCCTGCATTCACTCCTCCCTCTCACACTCTGCCTTTCAAATAAATAAATCTTAAAACAGACGTGTCCTTCAATGGAACCAGTTTTTAGAAAAGTACAACCAGGAGGCCAGCGCCATGGCTCAATAGGCTAATCCTCTGCCTGCGGCACCAGCACACCGGGTTCTAGTCCCGGTCGCCCCCCTTCCAGGCCAGCTCTCTGCTGTGGCCTGGGAGTGCAGTGGAGGATGGCCCAAGTGCTTGGGCCCTGCATCCACATGGGAGACCAGGAAAAGCACCTGGCTCCTGCCTTTGGATCAGCGCAGTGCGCCAGCCGCAGCGGCCACTGGAGGGTGAAACAACGGTAAAAGAAAAACCTTTCTCTCTCACTGTCCACTCTGCCTGTCCAAAAAAAAAAAAAAAAAAGTACAGTACAACCAGGAGCCAGCATTGTTGCATAGCTGGTAAAGCCAGTGCTGTGGGCTTTACCATCCTATATAGGGGCCGGTATGAATCCCAGCTGCCCCACTTCTGATCCAACTTCCTGGCCAATGGCCTAGGAAAAGCAGTGAAGGATGGCCCAAATGTTTGAGCCCTTGCCACCAACATGGGAGAGATCCAGATGAAGTTCCTGGCTGCTGGCTTCAGCCTGGCCCAGCAGTGGCCACTGCGGCCAGCTGGGGAATGAACCAGCAGATGGAAAATCTGTCTCATTCAGATAAATCTTAAAAAAAAAAAAAGATAACTGAAATGGATGTGCAGCTCATTGTATTTTTAATTTAGAAACAACCCCATTAAAAGACAACAAATATTTGGGGCCCGCACCACGGGTGCCGGGTTCTAGTCCCGGTTGCTCCTCTTCCAGTCCAGCTCTCGGCTGTGGCCCGGGAGGGCGGTGGAGAATGGCCCAAGTGCTTGGGCCCCTGCACCCGCATGGGAGAGCAGGAAGAAGCACCGTAGCGGCCATTTGGGGGATGAACCAACGGAAGGCAGACCTTTCTCTTTCTAACTGTCAAAAAAAAAAAATATTCATCTAGTTGATTTAATTATCAGTTCCATGTTCTTTGTCTGTAATCTTTCTTCACATACAAATTCGTGCCTATCCCAGTATTCATTTACAATTACTATCATGTGAATGGGCTTCAGACCAACAAATCCTGGTTTATTTCACTGACATGTTTTGATTGTGGCCCCATGTCTGCTCATCAGATTAAAAACATGTCCCTTCCAAATGAAGAGCTAGCTTCCTAGTCTGCAAATTCTAGAAAACTAAAAACTTTCTAATGCTTTAAATTTCTAGAAATAAAAATTTTTTAGCTTTCACAGCCCCTGTGTCCTCACTGGGTTTCCCCCATTAATACTTGGCTTTTGTCACTTAGACCACTGGAGGTTTAGTGTAAGCCCAGCTTTTTCTCTGCAAGGGGAAAAATACCCACTTGGGTTTTTTCCACCCATTTGAAAGAAATATGTCAAAGTGCCTACAACTACCCATCTCAACTCTTACCTGCATCCACACAATATACTGGACAAATTTATCCACCTCCCTATGAGATTTCAATTTGTATAGAACTTTTATACAGCGACACAAACTGTTTCAAACTTGTTTCTGGGGACTCCAACACTGGCATCCCATGTGGGCACATTTTGGGTCCCACTAAAATGCCTGGGAAAGCCCCTGCGGCCGGCGCCACGGCTCAATAGGCTAATCCTCCAACTTGCGGCGCTGGCACACTGGGTTCTAGTCCCGGTCGGGGCGCCGGATTCTGCCCCAGTTGCCCCTCTTCCAGGCCAGCTCTCTGCTGTGGCCCGGGAGTGCACCCCATGGGAGACCAGGTTATGTACCTGGCTCCTGCCATTGGATCAGCACAGTGAGCCAGCCACGGCAGCCATTGGAGGGTGAACCAAAAGCAAAGGAAGACCTTCCTCTCTCTCTCTCTCACTGTTCACTCTGCCTGTCCAAAAAAAAAAAAAAAAAGCCCCTGCAACCATTGTAGGAGACCTGGAAGCTGTTCCTGGCTCCTGGCTTTGGACTAGCCCAGCCCCCAGCCATTGTGGCTATTTGGGAAGTTGAACCAGCAGATGGAAGATTTTCTCTCTGCCTTTTAAATAAATAAATACAAAAAAAAAAAAAAGCTTGTTTCCTTTAGAAACTTCCAATAAAATATTCCAGGCTACAATAGACTACTTGGGATAAAACAAATTTGTGATTATACTTCAGCCTTTGCCACAAAGGTATGAACTACAAAACTGTTACTCTTGTACTCAACAATCTTCATTCTTTTTCCCTAAGGTTTCTAAAACAAACCAAGTATGGTTTATGCCACAAGAGCACATTTGCCAAAGCACCTGTCAACATCAGCAACATCTACTTTCAGAACCATGTTAAAACAGCCATATCATTACATAAAGCCTTAGAATTACATTTTAGCAACTTTTGTCTACATCTTCCTCAACTTTAGACTACAAACTTTCAAAAACACCTGGGTAAACAAGTTCATTAATCTAAATCAAATACTCAAAATATTTGTGGATACTACCTTGCAACCCCTCAATCACAACTTCTTTTAACCTGTTTTACAAAAATTTTTAATAGTATATTTGTTTCTGTTTGCAGGAAAGAATATGTTCAAGTGAAACATTGTTTTTTTAAAAATTGTGTGTTTACTATCATCAAAAAGCATTGACTGAGTTTCCCCAGAAAAAAATCTTCCTTTGTAGAAATTGGTAATTAATGAACAAAGTCCATAACCTTAGGGAAGCTGATAGACTATTGATTTCCAATCTCCATTAATCTTTTCATTAGGAATTCCACTGTAACCAAGATATTTCAAATTGGATTATTTGGAATTTATGAAAAGTAATTTCCAAAAGTGTCAAACTGAAATTATATCAAACTTAAAAGTTAGACACAAAAAGTTTGAAAGCAACTTTAAAAAAATCTAAAACTTGCCTCCACAGAGAATCAGGTACATTTTTACTAACAAGACAAAGCTAAAAATGTTAAATAAGAAATCAAATCTTAGGGACAGATGGATCATAAAGAAAAATAGGCTAGTTAACTAGCCCCAAAAGCAATGATACCTGAGGCAAAAGATCAAACAGAAAAGTGATCAGGTATAATAAGCATGTGATGAAATATTAAGATGAAAAAATACGAATAACCCACACATTTATGAGAAACTGGCAGGAGAAGGATATCAAATCTAGAAGCATACCAGACCTCCATGCTACAAAACCTCATTTTAAGAATATATTGATTCATCTCTTATTATTATTTGAATTTTACCTATGCTCATAATATATTCTGATAGGGTAAATAGAAAAAATGTAAGTCTGATTTTTCATTTCCTCTCCACACTACTACAAAGAATAATTTTCTTCCATCTTGAAATTTTTCAAAGCTTTTTGAGAAACACACACAAATAATTTGGATTTAGTCGATTTTATTTACAGCTTTTTTTTTTTTTTACATTTCAGAGCATTCACAATTACATTTTCTCATTTTCTGACCTGCAAACAGATACCTTAAACGGAAATATTTTTTAAAAAATTATCAAATTAGGTACATCCAAAATGCAACAATTACACATAATGACAATTAATTCACAAAGTGTAATTCACTAGGACGTATCCTAAGAATTTAGGAACAGCCAGTCAGGAGAAATCTGACCAAATTTAGCTATCAACCATTTACATATCCAGAAATCAAATGTATCTAAACTCCCAAACTAAAAGCTTGAAAGTTTTGTCAAATTCCCACAGGACAAAAGATAAAGATTCAAACCTATCCATTTTTTGACAGTGTTGATCCCAAATAGTAGCCTATTTCCCCAGTCTAACTGAATAGCAAGCATCTGTTTGTGAAACACCCAAGTATCAAACTTTTACACCAATATGCACATAAAAAGGCTGTTCATTAATTTAAAAACAAGTAGTCATTAAATATCCACACTATCCTCCCAGCTCACTAGCCCTTACTACAATCCCAAATATGCAACCCATGTCACATAGTGACAGGCCATATTTTATATAGGTGTGTGTGTCTGCATATACACACACATACAGATTTAGGTACAAATGGCAATTAACAGTCCCTGCAAAAATTCAATTTCACTTGAGGCTATGGCTCCTATGCCTTGGGATGGTTTTAGATTTCAGAACTGAAAAATACTGCTAAAATCTCACTTCCTTAAGACAAAATTTGATTGCATGTTCAGTTTAAGCTTCTCAGTCTAAAAATGGCTATAAGTTAAGTATAAAAAAGTCAGCCAACTGAGTGCAATTTCTCTCTCCAATTTGGCCAAGCTACCTCATAGAAATTATTCCTGACTAGACTAGAATATCTGTGGCGCCTTCCAATGGTCCTTGCCTACCTTACTGTCCATGTTCACGTTTCAAACTGTGTCAAAAGAGCCCGCACTTCAGGGGTCAGCTGCTTGGCTGCCTTGGCTGCCTCTGTGATGGCCTTGCGATACAGGCCCTTTCTCTTCTTATTAAAGCGTGACTGGAAGTTTTCTAAAAAGGGAGAGAGTTGCGAAAGAGCAAGGAAAGATGTTGTTGGAGACCCAAACCATGAAATACGGGCCTCCTGTCGGATCAATAGGCCATTATCTTTCCGGCTCACGGTTATAGTAAGAATACGGGCTGGCCACCAAGGAAAGCCATATATCTTAGCCCAAACAATGTCCCCTACACATATGGTCCTGCCATCTGGTGTGATGCATTTAGAGACGTTTTTGGAAAAGATTTTCATTTTCAAAGAATTACTGAGCTTTTTCTCTTCCTTTGAAGAGGAGGAAGTGGAGGAGGTGGAAGGTGCATGCATACTGCCTGGAGGAAAATCAAAGCTTTCAGAAGAGCTACACTCAGAGTTGGAAGATTTCAGATCATCTGTGCTATCAATGCTACACACTGAAGCACTGGAAGAGTCAGATTTCTTTTGATTTAGGGTCATGTAAACAGAGATATTGCTTTTGCTGCCCTTTTTGCCCAATGTCTGTGGTTCATCCTGCTCACCAGGCACATGCACTTCATTTGTGTCCTGAACCTCACTGCTGGCCTCTTCAGGGCCTTTTGAGGGACTCTGAGTTTCTGAAGGGGCCTCACCTGCTGAGCGGGTAGAGGTGCAGCGGGACTGGGGTTTGGGCGCCATCTTGCCACTCCTTATTTTCTCAAGTCCCGTCTTCAGAGAAGAGTCATTTTCTTCATTCCTGTACCTCTGTGGTTTTAAACGAACCCGGGGAGGAAGGGAACCTGAGCTAGGATTCTGATAGCGACGTGTGAAATGGACTTTTGAATGCGCATTTTTGGAAGTAGAGGTTTCACTTTGCTTCTTTTGTGCCTTTTCTTTGGCAATTTTCAACACTTCCCGAGCTTTCGCATGATCCATATTCTTACTCTGGAGCACTTTTTTAGTATTTAACTGAGCTTTTGATGTATTTGCCTGAGCAGAAACTTTAACTACTCTGCCTCTGCTGTGAGCAATATTTGAAACTTTAACCACGGCATTTCTTTTCTGGCTTTCATTTTGGTTTTTCCCATCCACTTTATGGTCAGTTTTCAGTTTTTTGTTCACAGTAGTTACACTTTCATTTCTCCGCTTTTTGTCTTCATATTTAGTAGAGTCACTTACACTACTACCTTTTCTAATTTCCTTTTTTTCAGCAACAACACTGTTTTTACATTTATCACATAGGACTTGCCTGGGGCGTAGTTTAATAGCATTCATTATTGATGTGGGTTCTTCCCTGTACATTTTTCGTTTGGGTCGCTTAATTTTCCGAGGAGGTGGCTGAGGTATTGATTGGTTATATGTGTCCCTGATAAACAAAGGGGGAGGATAAGGTGCTCCTTCGTGGAAGAGAGGTGGTGGTTTGGAAGTCCACAAGCTTTCAGCCAAGTTCAGCTCAGGTGGTGGGAGAGGAGAAGGGTCCTCAGGAGCAGCACCATTCACTTCGCGCTTGACCTCTATCCCTTCTTGGAATGTGTTACTTTGCAGCTGCATGGCTTCCGGTTTATCCTTATATTCCCTTTTGGGAAATACTGTCACAGGGATCCCATGAGGCCCAAACCTTTGAAAAAAATAAAACACAAGTCATCAAGTTAGTTATCTGTAATTCAATTTCTTACACATAAAGAACACTTCCTGTTTTTTTATATGATCTTTCCTGAAAACTACTTCATATAAAAAGTAAAGCACCAACACAAGAATCTACTGGCTAACTTTCCCAAAAGCTCAAAGACCTCACTTATTTTGGTTCTTCACTTCAGGTAAAAACAGAAACACTCCAAATGTTTATCGAAGGCAATACCAGAAAAGCTAATTTTACCTAAAATGGACCACTCCAGTTTTCAATCAGAAAGGATAGTTTAATAGTAAATATCATGTGCTATAACACTGAAGCATATATAACACTTTCAGAAAATGCAAGCATAAATTTCTAACATACAGATATCTTTGTCTAGTTAAAATAGCTTTCAAAACCTAAAACTCAAATTCAGGGGCCAACATTTACTATGATGCTGGCATCCCACATGGGCATTGGTTCATATACCGGCTGCTCCACTTCTGATCCTGCTCCCTGCTAATGGCCTGGGAAAAGCAGTGAAAGATGACAGAAGTGCTTGGGCCCCTGACACTCATGCGGAAGACCCAGAAGCTGCTCCTGGATCCTGGCTTTGGCCTGGCCCAGCCCTGGCTATTGTAGCCAAGTGTGGAGTGAACCAGTGGAAGGATAATCTCTCTCTCCAACTCTGAGGTTTTTTTAAAGTAATAATAAAAAAACTCGGATTCAGCTAATTACCCAAAAATACTCCATCAGTAAAATCCCATCTTTTCTTTACTTATTAACAGCTAAAGATTCCAAAGAAGTTGCTCCTTTACTCTTACATCCTTAACTCAAGGCTCCCCAGTCTGCCTGTAAAAGAAGCCAAACACACCAGAAATCAAGAAACTCAAATTACCTCCAAAGACGACAGGGTTTCAAGCTTTTAGAGTTATATTCCACATTAATAAAATTTTTTTTAAATAATATTTTCCCGGGGTCGCTGCTGTGGCACATCAGGTTGAACCACAGCCTGCAATGACAGCATCCCATGAGTAGTACCAGTTGAAGTCCCACCTGCCCACTTCCTGTCCAGCTCTCTTCTAATGTGCCTGGGAAAGCAGCAGCAGATGGCCCAAATGCTTGGGCCCCTGCAATCCATGTGGGAGACTTGATTTCCAGGCTCCTGGCTTCTGCCAGGAATAGCCAATGAAGCCATTTGGGGAGTAAGGCAGCAAATGGAAGATCTGTCTCTCCCTTCTCTTGTTGTAACTCTGCCTTTCAAATGAATAAACCTTCAAAATTTTTTCCCATTATAACCCAATAAAAACGTTTGTGTCTGTATACATGTATTCATTAAAGGCAACTTCAAAATGGAAAATCGAATTAAAAATTTACAAGTAAATATGCATGAATATACACACTTAAGCAAAAGTTTCACCCAATAAATAACTTTATAAGATACTTGTTGACTGTTTAAAAGTATTTAACAGGGGGCCGGTGCTGTGGTGCAGCAGGTTAATGACCTGGCCTAAAGTGCCAGCATCCCATATGGGTGTCCATATGAGCAGTCCTGGCTGCTCCACTTCCAATCCAGCTCTCTGCTATGGCCTGGGAAAGCAGTAAGAAGATGGCCCAAGTCCTTGGGCCCCTGCACCTGCGTGGGAGACCCAGAAGCAGCTCCTGGCTTGAGATCCGCGCAGCTCCGGCCATTGCGGCCAATTGGGGAGTGAACCATCGGATGGAAGACTTTTCTCTCTCTCTCTGCTTCTCCTCTATCTGTGTAACTCTGACTTTCAAATAAATAAATTTTTTAAAAAAAGTATTTAACAGAATATAATTCTAACATCAATCATAAAGTAAAAGTGCTTAGAACCCAAGAATCAGGTAATCAAGGTAGAACCCCTGAAACTAGACCCAAATATTTTCTTTCCTTTTTATTTTTTTTGTCTTTTTTTTTTCCTAGACAACAAGTTAATGCTGTTAAACGAAGTTGAGAATACCTTTGTTAGGAAGAAATTTTGAGATTAGGTTCTGGCACTTGGAGACATCCCTAAACATATGAAATGAGAAAGACCCTATGTACACACACCACATACCTGATTCTAATGCCTAAATACTTTTCTTCCTAGTCTGTTACCTTGGCCACAAATTAACATTACAGCAAATATGTGTGAATGATGGAAGTCCACCTAACACAGGACAAGCTTGGGTCTGAGATAGACCAAGAAGGAAAAGACTCCCTCCTCACTGCAGACTTCCCAGAAAGTTACTTTTTATTCTAGCATCACATGTTAACTGTTTGCTTCCTAAATGCAAAGCACTATGATCATTTAACCTTTTGTCATTGAAGATGACAAAAGAGGAGATTTTTGTGTTTTACTATACACAACATACTGTTGACTTATCTGAAGTGAGACCACTATTTGTATTAACACATTTTTCGAATTCGTAGACCATTTCACCCCATTGACCATTCACATTTCTGATAAGGGCATTTTCTTTGTTTAGCTATGCAAACAACTAAACCATCATTACCTTCATGTTTGAATAACCTTTCATAGCTATCTCCTATCAAATGTTTGTACCCTCAAAACTTCTATCCTGAATAACACTTCCTACCTTGAAGGATTCAAGTCAGAATTAACAGCTCAATAAAGTTTAGCCATCTCTCAGGCCTAAAATTCATTTAAGTAATCTGATTTTTCAGACAATTTATTAGAGGTTCACATCTAGATTTTTTTCTTTTCCCTCATAAGCATATAAAATACTCAACCACAAAATGTTTTTAATAACACTGAGAAGCACTTCATTGGGTAATGACAAATCCAAGTTATAAGCTACCAACAGAAGAAAAAAAAATATAAAGGAAGCCAAAACTGGTACTTTGGGTGGTAAATGGGAAAGCAAACTACTACTACTAAAAGGTCCTCTAAAGACCAGAAAAATAACTCAGAGGAAGAGGAGGATCATGTCCACTCCATCTCAGTAATGACATTATCACAACTACATGGAAAACACTTAATATCTAGAGGAGTGTTATCCGAATAAAGATGGAGATACTAGTTATAAAAACAACTTCCTCATCTGTTGCAGTCATTTGGGGAATGAACCACTGGATGCAAGATCTCTTTCTGTCACTCTTTCAAGTAAATGCAATCAATCTTTAAAAATATATAGGAACAAATATATAGGAACAAATTAAAATATATTAATAATTTTTCTTATGCTAAGTGTTTTTTAAAAAAGCTGATATTCTACTCATCAGCATTAAGTTCAGAAAACCTCAAAAAATTCACCTTTGATTTAGTATTATAATCATCTCATTCCGGTTTACAACAGTTTAACAGGGCACAACTAAATCTATTTACTTTCCGGCAATCTGTATTGCCAAGCTGAAACTGTAGGAGGAATTTTTTTTTTTTTTAAGATTTATTTTATTTATTTGAAAGACAGAATTACAGAGAGAACAAGAGGTCTTCCATCCGCCGATTCACTCCCCAAATGACCGAAACAGCCAGAACTGAGCTGATGCGAAGCCAGGAGCTTCTTCTGGGTCTCCCATGCGGGTGCAGGGACCCAAACACTTGGGAAATCTTCCACTGCTTTCCCAGGCAATCAGCAGAGAGCTGGATCAGAAGTGGAACAGCCAGGGTTTTGCTTCGCTTCACTTCACTTCAGGCTAGGGCTTTTAACCCATTGCGCCCCAACACTGGCCCCAGAATTCTTTTTGAAATAGTATACAATAAAAATAAAAGGAATAAAAACCATAGATATGGCAAATTTCAAGCAGAAATTCTGAGAAATACAACGTTCAAAAAGAAAAATCCAGAAGGGTTAGTTGAGCTACATCTCCATACTGGTTGGACCAAACCTCCCTCCCAACCAATAGATAAAAGAAAACCCCTTTCCCCAGAATTCTCTTTTCATAATAAAAACAAAAAATATATGCAATTCAACATTATACCCAGATTTATTTTATGTTAAGCACATATATTTTTAGAAAATACCTCCCCTTACAGTTAGCAACAAATTAAATCATAGAAGAGGGGAAACTGAAGCAAGCTTATTTTGGCTCGCACTCATTACTTTGTGAGATTAGTATTATGTCCAAGTTTAACATCATGACAAAAAAAATAGCTAATGTCTCAGAAAAGTTTACAAATTATGTACATCTATTCCATTAAAAACGAATCATCATACAACCCAGCAATCCCTCAAAGAGATATCTGCAGGACCCTATTCATAGCAGCAATATTCACAAGAGCCACAAGGTGGAAGCAACCCAAGTATCCATCAGCAAATGAAAGGATAAACAAAATGTGATATGCATATACACTTAGACACACTCAGCGCAGTATTTTCCAGTCTAAGACAATCACATCACATACTACAACGTGGATGAATAGTCCTGAGAGCATCATGGTAGTATGAGTGCACTTACATAAGTAATCTAAATTACAGTAACCCCATCTAATCTGGTATTTCACTTAACAGTCCAAAAGTCTAAGCAAAGATCCAGAAATAATACCTAAGTTTTAAGTAAGTTTCATTAGAGTGTATTTCTATAATTGTTCTATTAGTTGTAAATCTCTTACTGTGCCTAATTATAAATGGGACTATTATAGGCATGAATATATAGGAAAAACCATAATATGTACAGAGAGTCTTCAACAACTTCCAGAAAGGGCAAGCACTTGGCCTGGCAGTTAAGCTGCCTGTTGTGATACCCATATCCCAAGTGTCTCAAAGAAAATACATGTGGGACTGGCACTGTGGTGTAGCAGGTTAAGCCTCAGCTTGCAATCTCATATGGGCGCTGCTAAGAGACCCAGTGGCTGTACTTTCAGTCCAGTTCCCTGCTAATGTGCCTAGGAAAGCAATGGAAGATGGCCCAAGTGCTTGGGCCTCTGCACCCAAGCAGGGGACCCAAAAGAAGCTCTCAGCTCCACACTTCAGCCTGACACAGCCCGGGCTATTGCTGACAGCTGGGGAGTGAACAGAAGATAGAAACTCTGTCTTTCCCTTTGTTTTTGTAACTCTGCCTCTCAACTAAACAAAAAACCCAAAACTTTAAAAAAAATGAAAATATTTTAAAGTTCATGAAAAATGAACACTATCAAAAAACTGTAACTGGATTTCCAAAGAAATTTTTTTTTTTTTGGACAGGCAGAGTGGACAGTGAGAGAGAAAGAGAGACAGAGAGAAAGGTCTTCCTTTGCCGTTGATTCACCCCCCAGTGGCTGCCACGGCCGGCACGCAGCTCAAGTCTTAGCCGTTCCATTTCTGATCCAGCTCTCTGCTATGGCCTAGGAAAGCAGAAGATGGCCCAAGTCCTTGAACCTCTGCACCCCTGTGGGAGATCCTGAAGAAGCTCTTGGCTTCAGATTGGCTCAGCTTCAGCAGTTGTGGCCATCTGGGGAGTGAACCAGCTGGAAGACCTAGCTCTCTCTCTTCTCTGCCTCTCCTTCTCTCTTTGTAACTCTGATCTTAAAAAAAAAAAAAAAAAAAAGTAGCAAAACACTAAAAATTCAAGGCTCTAGATAAGCAGCTTACAAGAGGGACAGGCATTGTGATGCAGCATGTCAAGCTGACAGCTGGGACGCCAGCACAACCTACTGGAGTGTCTGGGATTGACTCCCACGTCTGCTTCCAATCCAGCTTGCTGCACATGCTGGGAGGCAGCAAATGATGGCCCAAATACTGGGCCCTTGACACCCACAGGGGAGACCCAGATAGAGCTGCTGGTTTCTGGCTTTAGTCTGACCCAAACCTGGCTATTGCGGGCCACTGGGAAATGAACCAATGGATGAAAGATCTTGGTCTGTTTGTCACTCTGCTTTTCAAATAAATAAAAATTTAAAAGCACAAGAGTTCTCTACATTTGAGATTATTTCAAAATAAAAAGATACTGTGCACTGAAGAATTCCCATGCTGGACCTCTGTCCTCAGGGAGTTGTATTATGAGAGTTAACAGTAAAATTTGTTCTCAAAGATTTATTTCATTTAGGGTATTAAGTGGAGGATATTCTTATGTCTCCTAAGTTTTTGTTATGCCCAAGTGTCTGACTCCATCGCTTGTTTTCTTCGGTGACTCTTTAATAAAACTCATCCTCAAAGACTTACTTTCTTTTAACGCATTAAGTGGAGAATAGTCTTATGTCTCATAAGTTATAGTTATGTCTAAGTGCTCGCAAAACATGTATCATTCTTGGGTGCTTCTTTAAAGTTAATTAAATTTCTAAAAAAAATAAGTGAAATTAACCTCGAGATGCAATGACTTTGAACAGCCCTTGTCTCAACTGTTGAACAATTTTTTTGTGTGTGCAAACTGTTGAATTCTTTACTTAGTATGCAGTTGGTCTTCTGTGTATTTGTATTAAGTTAACTGAAAATAGATCTTAGTGGAGAATGGGACTGGGAATGGGAGAGGGAGGAGGAGGGGTGGGAGTATGGGAGGAAGGGCGGATATGGTGAGAAGAATCACTATATCCTAAAGTTGTACTTTAAGTGCCTTGGTCAAGGCAAGACCCCACTTTCAATTCCAGCTTCTACTGATGAGCTCCCTGGGAGGTAAACAAGGATGACTCCAGTAACTGGGTTCCACCGGTATCAAAGAGCCATCATTGAGTTCTTAGCTCTTACCTTTGGCCTGACCCAGTCCCATCTGTTATAGGCATTTAGGGAATAAACCACTGTCTCTGTGCTTTTCAAATAAAAGAAATAAAAGTAAATGAATGTTGGTGAGGACTGAGACTTAAACAACCATTAAAATAAAGGTAGTGGCCAGCATGGTGTCATAGTGGGTAAAGCCACCATTTACAACACTGGATCCCATATGGGCACCAGTTTGAGTCCCAGCTGCTCCCCTTCTGACCCAGCTCCCTCCACATGTGCCTGGGAAAGCAGCAGAAGATGGCCCAAGTGTTTGGGCCCCTGCACCTACGTAGGACACCTGGAAGAAGACCTGGAAGAATTAACTCAGCTCCAGCCTTTGAGGCCATTTGGGGAGTGAACCAGCAGATGGAAGAGCTCTCTCTCTTTCTCTCCCTAACTCTGCTTTTCAAATAAATAAATAAATCTTAAAATAATAATAAAGGTAATTTGTTGAGTAAGAAGAAAGGAGGTCATGCTGGTGAAAGTGTATGAGGGGATAGGCCGGCGCCGCGGCTCACTAGGCTAATCCTCCACCTTGCGGCGCCGGCATACCGGGTTCTAGTCCCGGTCAGGGCGCCGGATTCTGTCCCAGTTGCCCCTCTTCCAGGCCAGCTCTCTGCTGTGGCCAGGGAGTGCAGTGGAGGATGGCCCAAGGGCTTGGGCCCTGCACCCCATGGGAGACCAGGATAAGTACTTGGCTCCTGCCATTGGATCAGTGCAGTGCGCCGGCCACGGCGGCCATTGGAGGGTGAACCAACGGCAAAGGAAGACCTTTCTCTCTGTCTCTCTCTCTCTCTCACTGTCCACTCTGCCTGTCAAAGTTGTCAGGCCACCAAGACAAAAACTAGTGCTATGTAAATAACTAGTCTCTTAACAAGAGGTGGCTTTTGTACTCCAGTAATGTGACTGTAAAAGCTTAAACTCATCTATGCTAGTATGATTCCATCATTTAATAAGTACAAAAAAAGAGCACAAAATATCTTACTGGGTCCAGCATTGTGGTACAGTGGGTTAAGCTGCCATTGGTAACACCAGTATCTCCTCCCCTATCAGAGCACTGGTTCCAGTCTCAGTTGCTGTGCTTCCAATACACCTTCCAGGATTGCACTTGGGAAAACAGTACAAGATGGTCAAAGCGCTTGGGCCCTGCCACCCACATGGGGAACCCAGATGAAGCTCCTGGCTTTGGTCTGGCCCAGCCAGGACCATTGCAGTTATTTGGGGAATGAGCCAGCAGACCAAAGACCTCTTTCTCTGACTCTGCCTTTCAAAGAAGTAAAATAAGTCTTTTATCACTGTCCACTCTACCTGTCAAAAAAAAAAAAAAAACCTTTCCCTTGCTTTGAAATGTGTCAATGTGTCATTCTCAAAGGTAAGCCCTTCAAAATTATGCTTAAAAGCATACAGAAGGCAGAATATAAGTACCAAATTTACCAATTAGACTATAACCTTCTCTTCAAGACAAAATTCATCGTTTTCCCACAAGAAATCCCCCTTGAAGTGCTGGCAGTAAGAAAACACTGAGAAAAACCCATACTTTCATTTTGCAAAAAACTCTTCCTATCTCATTCCCTACTAAAATGTAAATGTCATCTTTCTTTACTCAAACGGGGAAGTTATACTTTGCCAGTATTACTTAAGCATCTAGAGATCCTTTCAAAGCATTTTAAAGATACAGACTAGATCTACTGTACACCACAGTACAACAGGTTGAGTGGATATTCAAGAAAACTCACACTAAGTAACCACAAGAGACGTTATCACATTCATCCAGTTTTGCCACTTATTACCTATTTCACAAAATATTAACAGAGCACTTAGTAGATATTAGGTACTAAAAACACATTTAGTTAAATTCAATATTTAATCACCATAGCACTCCTATTAGTAAGGTACTATCCCTAGGTCCATTCTGTAGCTGAGAGAACTGAAGCACAGAGGTTGAGTGACCATCCCAAGATCACAGTTAGTAAGCTAGACAGCCAGGATATGAATCCAGGAAGTCAGCCCAGCCAGGATGCTGACTACAGCCTCCCCTCATCTCGACAAGTTACTTAACCTCTTCCCTTTCCACCTCTGCTTTTCTACTAACGGAAATAAGTTCACATGCTCTTTTCTGAATGCTGTGGAAACAGCTTTCAGAATATACAATTTTTCTGGTTTTCAGAAGATACTAAGCACCACATTATCAAGCCTATTAATATTTCAGCAGTGAAATCAAAGTACATTCACACTAACGGGGAAGGTTAAATAGAACAGCCTTATATCATTTCAGGTCAGGTTAAGTTTTATCACCAAAAAAACTCAGGTTTCAGAGCTTTTTGGATTCTTAATAGAATGGTCATCTCAATTAAGTAAGAACCTATTTAAGTACTTATCACAGTACACAGACTCTTGGGTCACTGCCACCCACATGGGAGACCTGATAAAAGTTCCTGGCTAGTGGCTTCAGCCTGGACCAGCCCTGGCTGTTGATGGCATTGGGGAATAAACCAGTGTATGGAAGATCTCTCTCCCTCTGTTACTCTGCTTCGGAAATAAATAAATCTCTTAAAAGAAAGAAAAAAAAAAAGAAATTCTATATAGAGTGCTTGGGTTTGAGTATCAGCTGTACTCCCAATTCCAGCTTCCTGCTAATGTGAATCCCAGGAATCTTTAGAAGCCAGTCCAAGTATTTGGGTCTCTGCCAAACACATGAGAGACCAACTGAGTTCCAGGCTCCTCGCACTGGCCTGGCCCAGCCCTGGCTATTACAGGGATTTGGGGAGTGAACAAGCAGATGGGAGTTACACTCCTCTAACCAATAGATTATAAAATGTTTAAAAAATCAATAAATGAATAAATGGAGAAAAGGACTATATTAAAGATTCCAGAGAACACCTTTCTGACCACAAGAATTTTACTCACATGTGGGTATGTGCCATAGCAGTTAATACATTTCTTGGGACACCTATATCATATATTAGATACTTGTGTTCAAATCCCAGCTCTAGCTTCCTGATAATGCACACCCTAGGGAAGCAGAAGTGGTTGTTCAAGTACTTTGGTGACAACTGCCACCCACGTGGGAGATGAGGATTGAGTTCCTAGCTCCCAACTTCAGCCTGGCCCAACCCTGGATGTTGCAGACATTTGAGGAATGACTCAATGAATAGGAAATCTCCATCTCTCTTTCAAACAAATAAAACAAAATTGGGGAAAAATATTTTTCCTCAATCTTTTAAAATAGTTTATTCAAGTGTCTGGTAATAATATAGAATTAAAAAGGAAAGAACGTTCCAACATGGGAGCAGTCCACACAGCAGATTCACAGAATGACAATTGCTTTAAGTAATACTCTGACCTCTGAATCAGCCCTTAAGGCTTCCTGGTCTGGCTGAAAAGCCTGTGGGACCATTTTAGGAAAGCAAAGCCAAGACACTGCAGCAAAAAAATGTTCAACGTAAAGGTTCTCTGTGAGACCGCAGTGGAAAATGGCCATCAAAGAAGGATGTACTTTTCTCTACAGGGAGAGAACTTCCACTTTGCTTATGACCTTGTCTAAATACTGACAAAGTTTGTTGATTCAAAAGGCTTCCATTAGCCTAGGCAGCTCATGTCAATTGTTAAATTAACAACAGGAGTCACTGTGCACTAACTCCCCATGCAGGACCTCTGTCCTCAATGAGTTGTATTAGGAGAGTTAACTGTAAAACTAGTTCTCAGTTTTGTTTTTTGCATGCACGTGTGTGCAAAGTGTTGAAATCATTACCTAGTACAGAGATGTTCTTCTGTGTATGAAGTTAACTGAAAATGAACCTTGGGGGCCGGTGCTGTGGCATAACGGGTAAAGCTGCCGCCTGCAGTGCCAGCATCTAATACGGGCACAGGTTCCAGTTCTGGCTGCTCCACTTCTGATCCAGCTCTCTGCTATAGCCTGGGAAAGCAGCAGAAGATGGCTCAAGTCATTGAGCCCCTGCACCCACGAGGGAGACCCAGAAGAAGTTCCTGGCTTTGGATTGGCTCAGCTCTGGCCACTGGGGCCATTTGGGAAGTGAACCAGCAGATGGAAGACTTTCTCTAACTCTTCCTTTCAAATATAAGAAGTCTCTCCTGATTCAGCTTCTGCTTAATGCACCTGGGAGGCAGGAGATAATGGCCCACACCAGAGACTCAGATGCAGTTCCTGCCTCCTGACTTCAGCCTGGCCTAGCCATGGCTATTGTGGTCATTTGGGGACTGATCCAGCTAACAGAAGATCAATCTCTGTCAACCTACTGTCCATCACTCTACCTTTCAAATACATAAACCTTTCATAATTTTTTTCAAATTCAGTCATTTAGCATTTAGTGAACATTGATTTGTGCTGAATAAGCACTGAAGTTGACGATCTGTACCTCCTCTTACATACTTCACAACTGCTAGGATTAAGTCAACTAAGGCAAAACAGAATGTTATCTAATTTAAGACCCAGGTTCATATGACTATATGATGAATACTTCACCAAACAGAAGAACAATTAATATGTTTAAAGCAAATAGCTGTTCTGGGTGGGTGAGAAACAGAGAAGTCTATTATTTACAACAACCAGGTTAACTTCCCACCAAACCATAAATTAAATGGTAATGGTAAAATACAGTTAAGTGGGACTGGTCTTGTGGCATACTCTACCACGTTTAAGCCTCTACCTGCAGCATGGCATCCCATATGGCCGTTGGTTCAGTTCCTAGCCGCTCCACTTCTGATCCAGCTCTCTGCTAAGGGCCTGAGAATACAGTGGAGGACAGCCCAAGGGTTTGGGGCACTGCACATATGGGAGACCCAGAAAAAGCTAATGGCTTTGGCTCAGTCCAGCTCCAGCCATTGAGGCCACCTGGGGAGTGAACCAGTGGGTAGAAGACCTCTCTATCTCTATAACTCTGCCTCTCAAATAAATTAATCTTAGAAAAAAAAAATACATGTAAGTACTTTTTAATCAGAATGGGGATGTTTTCAAATCTTACAAAATTACCATTCAAAAGGGAATCTTGAATATATACCTGCCTTACCTCCCATGTATAACTTTAGGCTATTTACTTAATTTCCAAAACCAGTCCATGAAATGGGAATTAATAAAATCTATTTCACCGGACTTTCCAGAGTAAAATGAAACAATGTATACAAACTGCTTGACACAGGACCCAGCATTGAAATGGAAAAACACAGTAGCTATTATTAAATATAGAAAGTCAAGTCTGAAAACGTGCTGGACTGTGATCAGCAACACACTACCAACACTGTGGAGCTGAGCCTGGAGAAGCAAATTTATGTGAAAATGAGAAATGACCAAGAGTTTCAAGGCAGATTACATATTTACAATCAATATTTAAATATAATACTCTGGAGATGTGAAACAAACTACAACTACCACAGAAAGTGACGAACAAACATATGAGAAGATATAAATCAACAAAATGGAATATTGCAGGGTTCTTTGTCCAGGCAGATGGTTGTGTACTACTTGCCCCTACATTCACAATTGGTTGAAACAAAAAATTTATCTTGTACAGAAAATAGTAGACTTCCTATCTTATAAGATATTCAAAAGAAAAATTTGCACACAACTTGATACTTTAAAATGACACAAGGTTTCTTCTCCTGAAATGTTGACTTGCAGATAATTTAGAACTGCTTAATCTAAATGGCAGTTTTATTTTTCCCAAGCCCTTCTAATAATTGTGGTTACCAAGATGCAGAAAAAAAGCTTGGCAATTCTTAATAGAAACAGAGAGAAGGTAAAACTAAGTATTATAAGCTTTAAAAGGCTAAAAAAAAAATAGTAACTTGACTATATAAAATTGTTTCAAATGCAAAGAGATGAAATTTATGGACTATGTAAACTTGCAGTGCACAAAAAAAATTAAACTATTTGCAAGCTTAATTTTCAATTCTACAATAAGGATCTAAACCTACTACCCAAGCTGCCCATGCTCCATGCATTGTTTAGTCTGTGATTAGATCCTATTCTAAAACTTCCCAATTCTGGTTTAAGAAATTTATCATTTGGGGTGTGCCATTTTGGCTGAGCCGTTTAGGCCACTGGTTGGCTTAGAGTGCCAGTTCATGTCTCAGTACCTCAGCTTCTGGTGAGGCTTCCTGCTAATGCACCCTGGAAAGCAGCAGATTGTAGTATTTGAGCTCCTGCCACTCCTACATGGGAGATCCAGATAGAATTCCAGGCTCCTCTTTGGCCTGATCCAGGCCCAGCTGTTGCAGGCACATAGGGAGTAAACCAGTCAATCAAAGATATTTCTCTCTCTCTCAGCATTCAACACATATTAAAAAAAAATTTTTTTTAATTTATCATTCTCCTTTTCTCTATCTAAAAATCAGCTGTCTCCAAAAGTGATGCAAAAATCAAAAGCATTAGAATCACTGTGTTTAAAATGTAAATGGGGTAGGGCTCAGAAATCTATGAACATGTTTTGAAAACCATCACTCTAAAGTAATTAGCCAAAGCATTCTACATCAAATCTACCCAGAATGTAATTCAGCCTCCACTTACTTTAAGATCTGCCACTATAGCAAGCTTGTTTTCTACCAGTTAGTTATTTCTGAATTTAGGGATTTAAGAAGAACTGGGACAATAAATACTGAGAAAAAAATTACCCATTTTGTAGGCACAAATTACTAATAACATTTTTCATTTTTTATCAAATATGCATCAAACCGGGCCATAAGCACATAATATACAAACTTTTTAATTACTCCCACAGAAAAGCTGATCTTAAGAACAGATTTAGTTTCTTGAAAGCTTTACTTTATAACAGCACAGTGACTCAAGTCTTATTGACATAAAAGATTGCAAATTAACCTTATCAGAAACCCCAAGACCAATAAAACTTGCCAGGCATAGTTTTTGCATAGCACCTAGTTACCTAGTATCTAAAACCTACTTATAAAGTGTTATTTAACACCATGTTACAGAATCCTTTACACTCAAACCAGGTTTTTATGCCCATAAACTAATCACTTCCAAAAGGGTAAATGCAAGGTTAGTGAAAGATGGATGAAACAGTTACTCTCAACACAGTATAGAGGGTAAGCTTCAGCTGTCTGGGTCAGAAAGTGACTGGTACTTGCTTCCTTGCTATTTTACTGTAGGAACCTTTTTGATTAACATCTTGGGCTATAAGCAGAATAATCACCAGAAAATATTTGTTCTAAATATGTACAACTCAACACAATCATTCAAGCATACTACTGTATGAATGCCTAAATTCTCAACCTGTATGCTTTAGTATGAGCTACTGATACCACTACTCACTGCTTCACCAGAATGGCTGTATTTTTTTCCCACCAAAAGTAGAGCTATTGCACCATACGTTTCATGGTCTCTGTAAAGAAAAGAAATCATTGTCTTGGTTTATATTTCCTTAAAAAATTTTCTACAAATTGTTTTAAACACTTAGTGAAATATGAAGTTTTCAAAGGAAATCATCTCAATTCTTAATTTAACGATCCCCCCAATATACATACAAAATACAATTTTGTAAAAAGGTCAATCTGGAAATACAGCTAGCTCCACCTTTTAGTATGCATGTATCACAAAATTAAAAAGCATCTTAGGTATAACCTTTAACTTTATGATTCCTTAATTCAGGTCAAGTCAAAAGAAATGGATTCAGAACAATTTTTAGGATTTCAAAATATAACTACTTTTGAAAAAGTTTGAAAAATCACTCTGCACAGGGAGAAATAATTGATCTCCAGCAAATACTGTCCCTTCAGGTATGGATTGAGAAGACTTAGAACCACCTTTTTAGTAGCTTGGGCTGATGGATCTTGCCCTTTGTAAACCATCTTGACTCATTACATTTTTCTGTGGTTGGAAATACCAAGGATGGAGGTGCGTTTAAGCAAGAGGTCTAAATGTTTGTTAGCAGGTAAGATATCCATAATCATTTCTACTAACCCAAAACAAGGGAAGAGAGGCTTTCAAAAGAAGACCTGAGAGGACTGCAGTTGCTGAACCTTCAGTTGGCTCCTAAGGAAAAAGAACTATTTTAAGACACGGAAATGCACCCAAGGGGATGGAACTGGGGGGAAAAATATCCAGAATATAGAAAATTCTATGAAACAAAATCCAAGATTTTTAACAAATAAATTGTAAGGGAATAAAAGTAATAGCCAAACAATAGATGAAAGGAGAGTTAAGAACAATCAGGGGTGGGCATTGTGGCACACTAGTTAAGCCACAACTTGGGACACCTGAATCTCACAGCACAGTACCTGGTTCAAGTCCTAGCTCCTTTGCTTCCAATCCAGCTTCCTGCTAATGTACACCCAGAGAGGCAGCAGGTCATGTCTTAAGTACCTGGGTCCCTGCCACACATGTAGCAGACCCAGACTCAGTTTCAGGCTACTGGTTTCAGCCTGGCCCAGGCTTACCTGTTGCAGGTATTTGGTGAATGAACCAGTACAGGGAAGGTATCTCTATCTTTGTCACTCTGCTTCTCAAATAGATAAAATTTTTAAAAGATAAATCAACCAACTGCATTGCATGAACTTTATCAAGATCCTAATTTTAACAAAGTTTAAGTCTTGAGGTATTCATTTTTAGACAGTTTGTTATGTTTTAACACTGACTAGATGTCTTAGATGAAAGAACTGTTCCTACTATTTTAGGTGTGAAACACAAGTATAGATATAGTTTAAGTACTTATCTTTTTAGAAGTCTATACTGAAATATTTATAGGTAAAGTGATATGCCAAGGGCCAGCACTGTGGCCTAGCGGGTACAGCAACCACCTGTAGTGCCAGCATCCCATTTGGGTGCCAGTTTGAGTTCCAGCTGCTCCACTTCCAATCCACCTCTCTGCTATGGCCTGAGAAAGCAGCAGATGATGGCCCAAGTGCTTGGGCCCCTATACCCACGTGGGAGGCCCAGAGGAAGCTCCTGGCTCCAGCCATTGCGGCCATTTGGGGAGTGAACCAGCTGATGAAAGACCGACCTCTCTCTCTCTGTAATTCTGCCTTTGAAGTAAAATAAATCTTTAAAAAAAAAGTGATATGCCTTTGAAGTAAAATAAATCTTTAAAAAAAAAGTGATATGCCAAGGAATTATTCAAAATAATCTAATGGAGGCAGTTATATGATGTAATACATTTGGCTAACAGTTGACAGATTTTGAAAAGAGCCAAAACAGGGGCCAGCACTCCACACTGCCATCCCATATGGGTGCAGGTTTGAGTCCCAGCTGCTCCATTTCCAATCCAGCTTCCTGCTAATGTGCCTGAAAAAGCAGCAGAAAATGGCCCAAGGGTTTGGGCCCCTGCACCCATGTTGGAGACCTGAGAGAAGTTCCTGGCTTCAGACTGGCTCAGGTCCAGCCACTGCAGCCATTTAGGGTGTGAATCAACAGATGCAATCTATCTCCTTCTCCCTCTGTAACACTGGCTTTCAAACAAAATCTTTAAACAAAAAATAAAAACAGCCAATATACTCATCCATGTTCATTTTCCATTACATATTCAACAAAAATATTGTACAACCACTGATTTATTACTGTCTATAACAATCAGTAAGACAGCTTAGCAACCTGAAGGAATGCTGGTTATTACGTAAAAACTACAAAAGCATAGGACAGGCATGGTGGCACAGTGGGTTAAGCCACTACCTGGGACACCTGCATGTCATACCAAAGTGCCTGTTTGCAGATCTCTGCTAATGCATCCTGGGAGCCACTGGATCAAGTGCTCAAGCACCTGTCACTCATGTGGGAGGCCTAAATGGAGTTTCAGACTCCTGGCTTCAGGCTGGCCCAGGCCTGGCTCTTGTAGGCAATGGAAGCTCATTCGTGCTCTCTCTGCCTTTAATGTAGATGAAAATAGTAATAAACATTTTCTTAAAAATTACAAAAACTTAAGATAAAAGAATAAATAGGAAAACCTCAACTAAATCTGTGAGGTTGATTATCAAAGAATAGGAAAACCTCAACTGAATTTGTAAGGCTGATTCTTCTCATATTAGACAATTGTCACTAGGCACTCTTATGAGCTGGAGTAAGCATATAAACTAGAAAAGAGGTGGATGTAAAAATGTAGGATCAAGAAAATACAAGCTTCACCTAAAAGTACTCAGTTTCAAACAAATGCTATGCTAAACAAAATATACTCAAAAGATAAAGTACCAGTGCCGGCACTGAAGCATAGCAGGTAAAGCCATTGCCTCCAATACCAGCATCCCATATGACACTGGTCTGTGTCCCAGCTGCTCACAACTTCCAATACAGCTCCCTGCTAATGGCCTAAGAAAAGCAGAGGAAGATGGCCCAAGTGTTTGGGACCCTGCCCACATGGGAGACCTAGAAGTTTCTTTCTCCAGGCTTCAGGTTGGCTCTACCCTGGCTGTTGTGGCCACCAGGGGAGTGAACCAGCATTCGCAATACCTATCTCTGACTTTCCCTAACTCTGACTTTCAAATAAATAAATCTTTATGAAAAAAAAAAAATTCCTCATTTTTAAAGTGACTCTATCATTTATGAGCCAATGCAAGCTTCTTCTACAAAGGTAGTACAGTAAAACCAGGATGGTACAGATCAAGCCACTTGATCACTCTATTCACTTTACATATACAGTGTAGTCTAAGGACAAGAATATATCTGAAAACTACACAGTTAGTCATTCTGGTTGCTGTGCAAACATCAGAGTGCACTTACACAAACTAAGATGGCTATAACATCATTAGGCAATACAATCTCAGAGGACCACCAATCATCCGTGCAGTCCACAGCACATGACTATATACAGACCCAGGCATGGTCTGATCCTTGTTTGTGTTAAAGTGAACTGCCCAAAGCCAAATGTATTAAATTCCTAAGACCTAGTGAAGGGGCCCGCACTGTGGCGTAGCGGGTAAAGCCGCTGCCTGCAATGCTGGCATTCCATATAGGCGCCAGTTCGAATCTTTACTCCTCCACTTTTGATACACCTCTCTCCTATGCTCTAGGAAAGCAGTACAAGATGGCCCATGTCTTTGAGCCCCTGAACCCTTGTGGGAGACCCAGAAGTTGTTCCTGGCTTCGGACCAGCACAGTTCGAGTCATTGTGGCCAACTGGGGAATGAATCAGTGAATGGACAACCTCTCTGCCTCTGCTTCTCTGTAACTCTGCCTTTCAAATAACTCTTAAAAAAAAAAAAAAAAAAAAAGACCTAGTGAAAATAGGGGCACAATAATTAGCTTAAAGTGTCAAAAGGGAGTACTCAGAGTCTGAGTAACCCAATACTCTGTTCTAGTCAATAATCTAATACTCGGGGCAAGCATTTGGCACAGCAGGTAAGTCTACTTGGGTCACCCTTACCCCTACCATAATGCCCAGGTTTGAATCCCACCTTCACTTCCAATCCAGCTTTTTACTAATGTGCGCCCTGGGAGGCAGCTATGATGACTCAAGTACTTGGGTCCCTGCTACTCAAACACAGGAGACTCAAACTGAGTCCTGTAGTTCCTGGCTTCAGCCTGGCCTAGCGCCTGCTCTTATGGGTATTTGGGAAATTAACCAGTGGACTGAAGATCTGTCTCTACCTTATCAAATAAATGAAAATTTTAAAAAGGGGCAGCATTGTGATATAGCAAGTAAAGCCACCACCTGTGAAGCCAGCATCCCATTTGGGCACCAGTTCGTGTCCCAGCTGATCCACGAATATCCTGTTAATGGCTTGGGAAAAGCAGCCAAAGATGGCCCAAGTGTCTGGCCCCTGCTATCCATGTGGGAGACCTGGAGGAAGCTCCTGGCTGCTGGCATTGACCTGGTCTAGCCCAGGCCATTGGGGCCATTTGAGGCATCAACCAGCAGTTGAAAGGTCTTTCTCTCTACCTCTTTCAAATAATCTTTTTTTTTAATTTTTAAATCATCTATTTAATCCCACTTCCATTTCTTTCTTGATTTACATGTTCCCTGCTCCTTTTTTCCAAAAAAAAAAAAAAAAAAAATTTGCCTCACAAATGTGTTATTCAGAGCTGGTGCTGCTGCACAGAAGCTTAAGCCTCTGCCTGCTGTTCCAGTATCTGACCTGGGCGCCAGTTCGAGTGCGGCTGCACCACTTCCAATCCAGCTCCCTGCTAAGGCACCTGAGAAAAGCAGAAGATGGCCCAAGTGCTTGGGCCCCTGCCCACATGGCAGACCCAAATTAAATTCCTGGCTTTGGCCTGGCCCAGCCCTGGCACCTCAGCCATTGCAGCTATCTGGGGTATGAACCAGTGGATGGAAGACTGGCATCTCTCTCTGTATCGCTGTTTTCAAATAAAT